TTTGGATGCGGCTCCATTCGATTTTAGAGATTTAATAACAGCTTGGGTGCCAGAACAAATAGTGATTGGCCGTCCTGTTTAGTGCGAGTTCACCAGAGTAAATCCCGCTACCCATTCTTTCATTAAGCTCGGAACCATCTGTACCTATAGCCGTCGGTTCTGGGTTTAGGTATGTGGCACCTTCCCATGCGTTTCTCTCTGCGATTCTTGTAGACAACTTGTGGTCTCAGATTATCCGGTAGAGTTTCAAGGATCTTTGCATGTCCGAATCTCATGACTCTCCACGTGACAAGCATGAAAGCCCTATTCTGCACCCCCTCCTCCTTAGTTCTAAACAAAGTCTAGTTTAACGTAGATTACCATACGGTGACCCCGGAGAAGAGGATGGGTGTTATCACCGCTGTGTTCATCCAGGGTACTATGTATTATTTTTTCCCTATAGCAGTTTTACAGGCATACAGGGCAATATTGACCTCCGTGGAGTGGTCTTCGATATTGCGCTTCCAGTCAAGTTTCCTGTCTGGAATAATTCCAATGTATTTAACCTCAGTTTAGACAGCGGAGGGCCCAGTATGCCCTTAGCTGCTTGTAGTTGGGCGGGAAATACTCCGTAAATAATTTTTAGGGTTGGAAAGGCATTATAGCCCATTCCATCCTATCATAACTTACGAGCGAAGTATCGGAGTTGTTATCAGAGCACCCCGGCAAGTGAGTGATCATAAGGACCTCTTGCATTTTATTACCAGAAGCTGTCCAGTCACCGTTAAGTTTCTGGATGGAGTTCATACTTGAAGAAAATCTCGACAGAATATTTCACGGTTAATGGTTTCAGAATTTTTTGTCCCATGTTGTTACAGAAGTTTTTTAGGGTTGCCAAAAACTTGCTTTCTTGGCTTGATTAAACAGCCGCCTGCTGTTTTTCCTCAGTGCTGAAATCGCAGGACTCCACCACTTGTTTTTGCTTTCGGAAGGGCTCTAGGGTAGGAGGCCCTGAAAGCAGCATTACAGGCATTTGTCCCAAAGTTGACCGCTTCATAAATTTTCGATTCTATTAAAATGAAGAATTGGGTAAGTTTTTTTTTAATATGTATAAACAAATAGGCTCAGACTGGCTTAGACTAATTATTGAGCTTTTAAATTAAGTTGCATTGCTTAACAAGCTGAATTACGCTTAAGTAAAGCACAGAGAAATTGATGTGACTTTAGCTTCCGACGTTATCACATATGCATGTATATATCTACTTAAGTACATATGTACATACATACATATATATCCATTTATTTACACTGTGTATGCTAAATAACAGTACAGCAAATAGTTAGGTTTACGTTTAGTTGCATCCTCCACTTTTGTATTCGTAAACGTAAGTTAGAACATAACTATTTAGGTACTTGTATACTCGTAGATCATNAGAATTGAATGTGCTACAAAACTGCATACCAGAATTTTTTCTAAAGATTCTGATTAAAAAGTTTGAAATTTGGGTGAAAAATTGCAAAATTTTTATAATTTTTATACAAAGTTTAAAATCTGAATTTATATGGTGTTTGTTGTATAATAAACATTAAATAAACATTAAATAAACAAAAGACAAATAGCCAAAACTGGTCAAAATATCGCACTCCTATTATTTTGTGGACAACTGTATAAAGGTTATATATCTTGGATCAAATTACATTTGTTTATACATATTAGGGTGGACCTTAGAAAGATAAACTTATAAAAAAAAATTTAAGAGGTCGCTACAAGGGTTTGAAAATTATTTTTTAAAATCCCAAAAGTTCTACAAAATTTTGACTTGAAATCTGATAAATTCGACATGTAAATTCATAAAATTTCTAGGGCTGTTCAGGGTGTTGTGCATATGCTCTTGGATTTAAATATTGTTTGCATTTGTAAGTTCACAGCAATAAAATGCACACGGTTGCCATGGCAGCAAGCAAAAAATTTGCAAATGCAATTCCAACTGCAAATCCAAGACCATTTCCGCAACATCCTGAACAGCCCTACTGAGTTAAAGCTGGGCGAAGTGAAAAATTTGTCGAATTTTCGCGATTAAAAAATATATAATTTTTCGTAGTGACTCCTAATTGTATTATTTATTTTTTAATTTTGAAGTTTTTGTGTATGTCTTTATTTTATTCGCAGAACATAATTAGGCGGTGCTTTACGATGTTGTTATTTTTTAAGGACCACCCTAATACGTACTTATATATGTACAAAAATATACATATTTTTTAATTTCAAGTCTGGTTTCTGATCCATTTTTGAACGGCTTAGTTCTTTGTGGCATAAAAATATCTTTTGGGAATAATGATATCATTGATGCGTTGCGCTCGAAGTTATTGCTGAAAACGCCAATGTCTTTCGTGCTTAGCTTCTACAATCTCACGTCTCACAGTCAACTTAATAAGGAATTGCTAGTGCAAAAAGTTTCAAGTATCTTTCGCACCACCTTTGAAAAATAAATACAATATATGTTACATAGCCGAAACTATTAGAAAATTTTCATGTTACTATATACATACATAAATAAAGCAAAAAAATCAATTTTACAATCTTTTTGCGCAGACGCGGAAAACCAAATTTGTATGGGCATATGCATATGTATGTATGACAATCAAAGGCACAAAAATCCATACATATGCAGGTAAAAGCACAGGTTTACATGTGCGGATGCATATCGATATGCATGCACATTAGGGTGCTCCTTAAAAATATTAATATCATGGGGGACATTTTTTATTTTGTTTTACGTACAAAATAAAGACATCCAAGAAAATTTCAAAATTAAACAAAAAAAAAATGTGTGCTCCCTACTAGGTTTGAAAACAGTTTTTTTTTTAATCACAAAAATTCTACTAAATTTTGAATTTGGTTAGCTATAACTCAACATGTTTAGGAATACATCGATATGAATAAATTTCAATATGTAAAATTTTTTAGATTTCAAGCATAAAATTGTCTCGAATATTTGCGTTAAAAAAAATATTTCACACTCTGAATATCCTTACTTTGCGCACCTCAAACAAAATTTAGATGTTGATATTTTTAAGGACCACCCTATTGTATATATATACATATCACTCTCGACATATAGTAGTCGTAAGGCTTCTCGTGTATTCTCCAAGCATTCCCACGCACCCTCAATCAAATATCCACATTGGCCGTGTTAACTTCGCCGCATCGTTTCCGAAAAAAATTTATTAAAAGAAGTCCCCGCATAAAAAGTTTAAAAAGTTTGCTATGCAACTTTACCAAGTTTTACTCGCGGTTGCTTACCTACTGGCGGCGGCACAAGGTCTCAGCTTTACAGTGACTTCAAAAGTTTACCTGGAAGTGAGGCATCAAAAGAAACCCTTGGGACGCATAGTTTTGGGTTTGTTTGGTAAAATTGCACCAAAAACTGTCACCAATTTCCGACACATCTGCTTGCGCGGCATTAATGGCACCACTTATGCGGGTTCAAAATTTCATCGAGTCATAAATCGTTTCCTTATACAGGGTGGCGATATTGTAAATGGTGAGTCTTTGGGTGTGATTCTAAAAGTTATTGGAATCATTTGTCTGGGAGGGGGGGAAATGTTTCGTGAATTTTAATTGAATTACTTAACTTCACTTCTCTCCTCAGCAAACCTACTTTTTAATTGTGCAAAAATATGTATGTGTACATTAGGGTCGTTACTCTACATACAAAAAATTGCTACTGCTTTTCCATCGAAATCATTAATCTTTTGTATTATTTTAATTCCGTTAATACAATTTTTAACATTTTTATGCAGGCCATTTCGAACGTAAATATTTTTAGAAAATAATTTTATTTATAAAAAAAACTCGATTCACGTGTATCCTAATAAATATTTTTTCGCAATATTTTTGAGGAAGTCTTAAAATATAATCAATTTTATAATGACGGTAGAAAAATTGATTTTTTTTTTAGTGTATCACCCTAATGTATATATGTTTGTATTAAATATATGAACCAATTATTCAAATTTATAATCACCCTAACTTCAGGCGATGGTACTGGTTCGACGAGCATTTATGGCGACTATTTCGAGGATGAGGCATTAAATGTCGAACATAATCGTCCAGGCTATTTGGGTATGGCTAATCGTGGTCCTGATACCAACGGTTGTCAATTCTATATAACTACCATTTCGGCGAAATGGTTGGATGGCAAGCACACAGTATTTGGCAAAGTGTTGGATGGCATGGATACGGTGCATGCTATTGAAGATGTCAGTTTCTGCTTTGGAATAAACAAATAACTTTTTTGGAAATTAATTTAATTAAAAAAATCTATATTTTTTAGGTTAAAACTGATACTNACAAAATTTAGATGTTGATATTTTTAAGGACCACCCTATTGTATATATATACATATCACTCTCGACATATAGTAGTCGTAAGGCTTCTCGTGTATTCTCCAAGCATTTCCACGCACCCTCAATCAAATATCCACATTGGCCGTGTTAACTTCGCCGCATGGTTTCCGAAAAAATTTGTTAAAAGAAGTCCCCGTATAAAAAGTTTACAAATTTTGCTATGCAACTTTACCAAGTTTTACTCGCGGTTGCTTACCTACTGGCGGCGGCACAAGGTCTCAGCTTTACAGTGACTTCAAAAGTTTACCTGGAAGTGAGGCATCAAAAGAAACCCTTGGGACGCATAGTTTTGGGTTTGTTTGGTAAAATTGCACCAAAAACTGTCACCAATTTCCGACACATCTGCTTGCGCGGCATTAATGGCACCACTTATGCGGGTTCAAAATTTCATCGAGTCATAAATCGTTTCCTTATACAGGGTGGCGATATTGTAAATGGTGAGTCTTTGGGTGTGGTTCTAAAAGTTATTGGAATGATTTGTCTGGGAGGGGGGGAAATGTTTCGTGAATTTTAATTGAATTACTTAAATTCACTTCTCTCCTCAGCAAACCTGCTTTTTAATTGTGCAAAAATATGTATGTGTACATTAGGGTCGCCACCCTACATAAAAAAAAATTGCTACTGCTTTCCCATCGAAATCATTAATCTTTTGTATTATTTTAATTCCGTTAACACAATTTTTAACATTTTTATGCAGGCCATTTCGAACGTAAATATTTTTAGAAATTAAATTTATTTATAAAAAAAACTCGTTCACGTGTATCCTAATAAATATTTTTTCGCGATATTTTTGAGGAAGTCTTAAAATATAATCAATTTTATAATGACGGTAGAAAAATAGATTATTTTTTTTTAGTGTATCACCCTAATGTATATATGTTTGTATTAAATATATGAACCAATTATTCAAATTTATAATCACCCTAACTTCAGGCGATGGTACTGGTTCGACGAGCATTTATGGCGACTATTTCGAGGATGAGGCATTAAATGTCGAACATAATCGTCCAGGCTATTTGGGTATGGCTAATCGTGGTCCTGATACCAACGGTTGTCAATTCTATATAACTACCATTTCGGCGAAATGGTTGGATGGCAAGCACACAGTATTTGGCAAAGTGTTGGATGGCATGGATACGGTGCATGCTATTGAAGATGTCAGTTTCTGCTTTGGAATAAACAAATAACTTTTTTGGAAATTAATTTAATTAAAAAAATCTATATTTTTTAGGTTAAAACTGATACTGATGATTTTCCCATAGACCCCGTTACCATAGCCGATTGTGGTGAAATACCAATTCAGCCTTTTGAATTCTATCCTGACGATTTTAAGTAAGTATTCAAATAATGTTGACAAACAAATGGAGCAAAAGAGATAGATGGAGAGAGAGGAAATTGTTTAACGTTTAAAGCCGAAACTTGAAAACTATAAAATCCTTATAAAAGTAAAAAAAGGACTTCAATTCGGCCGACGGTTTTCATGAAGATTAGAGAATTAAACCCTCTAGGAACCCCCCTCGATACCGGATTTGGGCGACATCTGTAAATGTTTTCTTGATCTCTGAGTGTATTTCAGCTGAAGACTTTATCAGCCAAACAAAGATGGAATAGGCCATCAACCCTTTTGAACCGTCCAAATCTGCTGGTTTAGCCGAGTTTCAAGCACTAACAGGGTTACCCTTTGTATAGTTTTAGATCGTGCCAACGTAGTCTACATCATCAAAGCCTGGGCCATGCCGAAAGTGGTTCTTATAGCAATAGGAGGGAAATACATTGCTCTATTATCCTTACTAACTTCTTTCTGAAGACTAACTTCTTTCTGAAGCCTCCACACATCTGTGAACATCTGTCAAAATGTCTACTCTAAAGGCAAATTTTGTGGATATGTCCATGCATCAAATTGTTACTTCTATTTTGTTTTGGCTTCCAGTAACGTTTGTCCAGAATCTATCGTAAAATCAGTACTCCAAGCAGGACTTGAAATTATCCGGCTCTTGTTCAGTATGAAAACTATTTGCAAGCCACATTGCGGCGTTTGCTCCCCACTCCTATGAAACCCTACAATAAACTATATGCATATAAGCCTACCGAGCACAGGTTACAAACCTACAAAGGGTGGCATGTGGCGCAGTCAAAGCACTCCAAACCGAGGTGCAGCTTCTTCTTGTGGAACTTCTTAAAAAATTTTTGGCTAGTTGCAATGCTGTCAAACAGAATAATCTGACTTAAAAATTATAGACATCTGCCCTGCCGGTTTAAAGCTTCTAGACTAAACAATTCCGACATCCGCTTTACCGCAGGAATTTCAACGTAGAATTAAAGTTATAAAGCTTGTTCAAACTCTATTGCTATATGTACCAACGACTCAAAGTTGTATGATACGATAGGAAGTATTGTATCCTCGCAGAAGCTTTAATTTAAACACTTCCCGGAGTGTACTCCAAAGTCTGGCTCCTCCATCATTAGGTACCTTTGGTTACTCGCGGGCATCTGGGTAATTTATAGATGCGAAAGGGTTGACTGGTTCTTCCATCCCTATAAATCTCTAGGTATAGACGTTATTCAATTAATTAATTCAATCGGTATCTGGCATTCTGTGCCTGATGCGGAGGAAGTCCGGTATTTGGGCGATATTTTGGATAGGAAGATAACATGGTTTCGTAATGAAAAGAACCATTCTTGGAAGGGCTCAAATTGCCCCCATATATCTGCAGATCAGCTGAAAAGAAAAAAAAAAAACAAAATGGGATTGTAGCGCCATATTGTTCACTGGATGTAGACAGTGGTTGTACGTCCCATTCTGTTCTACGGCATTACAGCCTGGTGGCTCAGCCTCGATAAGGCTACAATAAGTAATAAGCTGACAAAGTTTCAAAGGATGTGATTTACTCCCAACGCAACTAAGAGTCTAGAGACCTTTTCTTTACTTTTTACCGGTGGATTTATGGATATTGGAAATCACAGATAAGGTGTAAGATTAAAAGCGTTGATTCAAGAACGCCCTACTTCAGAATTTGATTCAAAAACGCCCTAATTCAGAATTTTATTGAAAAACACCCTAGCTCAGAATTCGGTTCATAAACGCCCTATCTCACACGAAAATACATTGAGCCTTTGCTGAATACCCCTAATATTTTCTTGAGGGTGTGGCTTAACTGAGTACATATAGCTTCTATGATTTTACGACCATTTCCACTTCCAGGAGAAAAAAAGCGTATATGATTTTTGATGAGCATTAATTTACAGACATTAGGGTGGTACGCTAGGATGAGAACAACTGAAATCTGGTGCCGAAGATATCACGAAAAATGTAATAAGGTAACCCATACTTTCGGTAGAAAACATTTTTTGTTTCGAAATTGCCTTGCAAAAATACTACTTATACTCAGAGGTGTACGGTGGACCCTTTTTTCCCCCTTCCAACGTTGGATACAAATACATAATTTGGTTTTCAAAATTTTAGGTTTTAAATGAAAGTCTAAACATTTCCCTTTTTCACCAATTAGGCAAACACTCCCTACTAAATAAATGAAAATCTATAAAAATTATGAATCTAATTTCGTTTCCTTTTCCCCTACAGCATAATGAGCTGGGTTAAGGCGGCCGGACTACCTGTAATGAGCTCCTTCATAGTGCTGCTTATTTTCCATTACTTCTTCAGGCAACTAAATATGTACTGTTGACGCAGCCAAGACAGACCTCGTTGGAAATGGAAAACAAATAAATGTGAAAGCATTTTAACTAAAAAAATAGTAAATGATATATTTAATAGACAATTTTACATTTGAAAATACATATAGATATGTGTATACATTAAAAATCTTCGAAATACATATTGTACATATTTTACATATGTAGGTATTCACACCTTCCTGGTTATCAAATTAATTCGTTAAAAATAATTATCCGCCAGCTTATTTTATTGTTGTAATCTGAATAAAAAGTATAAACAGCCTCAAAACCAATCAACGCGATAACAAGTCAGGTGTGAGCACCCACATTATTTTCTTGCAATTATTTTCAAATCTAATTACGCTTAGCGATGAGACCACGCAGCAGTATGGGTAAAGTGGGGCCCAAATGCAGCTATAAAAAAAGAAAGAAATAAAAATGGTTAAACATTAAATTCATTTCATTTTCTTAATTTTTTTTAGGCTCAGTACATGACTTTTTTATAACCACTTCGGATAATTTCGTGACTAGTTTCGAACTACCCACAAAATCATCATGAACTAGTCCCGAAATTTACCTGGAGTGGTTCTAAAAAGTCCTAAACTTGTGCCGAATTCATCTCTAACCAGTCTTGAAACGGTCCAGAAATTGTCCCTTACTAGTCTCCAAGTTATCCCGAAATGGTCCCTTACTAGTTCCAAAATTATACCAAACTAGTCCCGTAATGGTTCTGAAATAGTCCTGAACCATTTCCGAAACTAGACTCGAAATGGTCGCGAACAAGTCCCGAAATGATCCCGAAGTATACCTGAATAATCTCAAATAGTCCAAAAACTTGTCCCGAAATGGTCACAAAATAGCTCCGAAATAGTCCATAACAATTCCCGAAGCGATCCAAAATTATCCCGAACTACTCCCGAAATAGTTCTGAAATAGTCCTGAATGTGCAACGGTCGAAAAAGTTGTGTACTTGTCCCGAAATGATCTCGAACAAGTCTTGAATCTGAGCTAAAATTGGTCTTCATTAGTCCAAAAATGATTCCGAACTAGTCCTAACCAAAATAGTTCTAAAAAAGTCCTGAACTAGTTCCGAAATAGTTTTGAACTAGAGCCAAATTGATGCCAAACTAGTTCTGAAATGTTATTGAAATAGTCCTGAACTAGTCGCGAAATGATCCAGAACTAGTGCCAAAGGGTCCTTAAATAGTTTGTGAACTAGTAACTAAATGGTTCTTTACAGGTCCCGAAATGGTCCAAAACTAGTCCCGAAAGGGTCTCGAAATTGTCTATTTCCTTAATAAAAACATGTATTTTCATTTGCAGCTTACATCAATGTATAGATAATCCTCAAGTATTTGTCCCTCCTCGTAGTACTTCGCTTCGGGTTTAAACAAAATTACAAGTCTTGCTTCGCCGCTATAATAGTTCCGCTTGCTGTTACTGAATATTTTGCACAAAGTAAAGTGATGCTTGTGATCTTCATATACCGATTTATTCAAGCTGTTATAGTAGTTCTGCAATTCTTTGCGTTGCTTAGCGTCCACTTCCAAGCGCGTATGCTGCTCTTTACGATCCAAATCGAACGAATGCGCATGCTTGACTTTCGGATCTGTTTCTGTATCGATAATACGTTCAAAAATATTGCGATAGCGTTTGACCAATAAGCTGGCCGATTTCTTTTCTGCTGCATAGAATATATAGTCGTGATTCTCACTAAAAAAAGAAAAAGAAGAGTTATTTCAGCGTATATGGAGTGAAATAACAAACAACAACTTTTATAGTTTTCCTACCTCTTTCTCACTTCGAAATCCACATAGAGCCCAGGTATTTTCACCTCTGTACGCACAGATGCAATCAGTTTGCCAGGTCCATAGAAATGCAAATCGATAAAGAATTTTCTCAATTGTCCCAATACCAATTGATGCATATTGAATACAAAACCCTGCTTTTGAAATGGTAGCGGTTGTGTGGTGAAATGCTTGAGATTAATTGGCATCGATTCACCATAGCTGCTGATCAGCTTCACGTAATCCTGATGCACTCTACGTAAGAGTAGCGCCGTTTTCGTATTTGCTTGCAATTGCTTAATAAACTTTTGTGTCTCGATTACTTGCTCCAACACGCTTGCATGCGGCAGTTCACCATTATTATTGACAATTACATAAGTTTTCATCAATTGAAAGAAACGCGCTTGCCGACTGCTCGTAGTGCTCGTGGTGGCATCTGTGTGTATGCTGCTCAATGAATATTCAATGGTACGCCGGCTGACATTGTCCTCCTCCTTGGGCACTGGCAAATCGTCGTCGAATTCGGTTATCGATTTGAATACATCAAAATAGTAGATGGCGCGTAGTAGTTCATATTCGTCTAAAATTTCGAAAATTGTCTGTTCGGGACGTTGCAATTTCGTGGTTACTGCAATTATGGGCATTATACCCTGGCCACGTAATTGTATTATCTGCTCTTCGCTCTTATTCGCAGTCACTTGAATTTCATGCATGAATTGCCCGGAGAAACCCATTATGCCTTCGAACTGCAGCAGCTTTGACTTGAATTTGCTAATATCAAAAGTTCTATTGCCAATGATTTTTGCATAACCTTGGAAGAGCCGTTGACTTTTGTCCACCACTGTTTTGTGACTTACACTCACAGTGATGGGATACTGGGTGACGGTGATTATACGCACAGAGGCGTTGAAGAGTTCATACCAAGGCTGAAAGTTTGCCCAGGAAATCGATTACTTGGGATTTAGAAAGCGTTTGAGAAATTGAAGACAAGAAGAAGACTAAGGAAGTAAATGCCCATCTAGAACGTGAAAACGATGAACCAGCGATATTTTCAGTTAAGCAAGGATGAGTGGAAGAAAACCGTACGAGTGCTTTTTGGTCGGAACGGTAGGCCCCGCCACCGGCTACACGTCTGAATGACCTTATTTAGCATTGTGCCAGCTTTGCTGCTTACTGGGAATATAGGGATGTGAGAAGCACTTAACGAACTCCACTCTTCTAGGTGGCACTACCTTAATACGCTTTACTCTTTGTGGTACGTCAGCTCGTGGAGTACTGCCAAAAGAAAAACCTTCCACTGATCGTTGGCTACGGTACGAACGCTCACCGTGTAGAGTGAGTCAGCAGGTGCATGAACTGTAGGGGTGAGTCCCTACTTATAAGCTAAGACCGCAGGCCAAATAAGAGGTCCTTAACATAACTTTTGGCAACTGACTGTCGAGTGCTATGGCAAACAAACTTGACAATCTTAGCTATTTGCTTAGCATCAATTTGCCTAGGCTTAAAAATAGATATAGGACAGCTAGCTTGCTGGAGAGCACAAAGTTAACTGACACCTTTTACTCTAGCTGCTGCGTAACCAAACAAAACTTGGTGATCTCGGAAACTCTTAGCGATAGCAGGATGCTGGGATGAATACTCAGATAATTTGATAAAGTACAGTAAAGAGATGAGGATGAGGCTAAGCGACGCTTTTTCAGAACTTTTGTGTTGGTACCTCATCTAGCCTACAAACATAAACAAGGCGAGTGATTAGGACATCAAATGGTGCCTACACCGAGGGGCCGACGCCCTGATTTCTGCCCACTTCCCTCATACCACCTCCAGTGAAGAAGCGACGGAGTTCCTAGAGTTCAGATCTTCTTCATCGGACTTGAAGCTGACAAAAATCCTATTCACCATTGCACACGTCCGATAACTAGAAATCCGTTAAGGTATATAAGTAGCATCAGCCTAGTGCTGTTGAAGGGCGTCCTAATGCCGTAACAAATACTATTAGAGATAGACTGTCTCTATATTTTGTTCCTGTGGTAGAGAAGAGTCCGGGTAGTTTTCTTTCCAAACTACAGGAGAAGAGACTATGTACTCCCCTGCAAGATACTTCAGGCACCACGATGTTCCCAATTCCAGTTTCCGCAATTCTTGTTTGAAGCAGCTTAGCTATCCTTATCTTCCATCTGCGGATGGTCAACTGCACATTACGTTTCTTTATTGTCGAAGTGTCCCCCAATATCTACACCATAGCAGTTTCTGTGGACTTTCCTACCCTATATATGTGCTGGTTGGGATGCAAATGAGCTTAAGTGTTTGGCCTGCAAGGAGTGTACTGTCGACTCGCTGTGGATACAAAGCTCCACACGAACTTCTACAAAACTTCTATGACCATAGTATCCATTGACGAGGGCATGCGGATGACTTAATAATAATTACCAGATGGAAGTTCGAGAGTACCCTCTTCGACATAATATAAAAGAGGCCTAAACTTAACAATACTGAAGTGTGAGCGACCTATAGTGCAGTGGTATGGGTTTTAAGAACTACTGTCTTAAACTTCGCAGGAGTTGGATGAGGAAAAGTTTTATCAACTATAAACATGGAAAAGCTGGGATTTCAGCTTCCACTAGTCCTCTTTCCAAAAACTTATATGAACTAGTAGTCAAATGATCTCTGTAATTTTTCGACTCAACACCAGCTGCATGGGAGTGAGACTGTTACAGGAATACGGGAGAAAAGTCTAGACTCAATGAGTTCAAAGAAAACTCTAAGGCTAAACCTTCTGGAGAGTATAGGACTAGAAGCGGTATTATGGAGCGTATAGCGCAGGCCTCAGTGCATACCTGTTGTTTTTATTTCTCTATCCAGCTTTCACAGAGACGAAATGGAAACAAAGTTCCCCGAGATGGCTCGGATCTATGACGATTTATCAGAGTTGGAGTAAAGAAAGGCAATGTAATATATAAACTAATACGGGGCCTCTTTTTATCATTCGTGCTCGAACTACCCAGAAGTCACGCTCTATTTCACCGTTCTACGTAGATATCAAATCTCAAAACTCGATCTTAATTAGGTTCGACCGAAACATATTCACCGGCAAAAACTTTATATAACTTTCTTAAGATTTTAAACAGTCGCGCTGAGAATAAAATCTTTTTCTGTAAGCTATTGAACGAAATCAGTTTCTACCAAGAATTTCCTGTATGAAAAGCTTTTTAAAGATTTTTTTTTCATATGGACGCGCATACAGTAAAAATTGTTCAGACGCCACTACTCTAAATCGGTGTCGATGTGAGAGATCTTTTACTCTCTGCGCATCCACATAAAATTCATTGAAAGCTTAAAAAAAAGCTCATCCCGCAGATATGTTTTAAACTTCACTGCACGAATGTAAAATACTATTCTATAAATTGTGCTTCCTTTTGTACCTTGACTCCGAGATACACGCTCTCCGATGAGAATTCCATAACCTTTTCCAAATTTACTAGCGTAATGTCGAATTGTTGCGGACAACTGCCAACCGTGTCGAGTGTAAATACAGCCGTTGTGGAATAACCTGTTAAAAGTAGATATAAATATGTTTACATGTTGGACCGTACCACCTTACAAGCAAAAATTTTCTCCGTACATCCCTGAATTAAAATTTTTATTTTTGCAAGGCAATTAAAAAAATTTTTTTTTTGGCCGAACCGAGGGGTTGCCCTTTTACATTTTTCGGTGGCACCTACATTCGGCAAGATAAAGCCTTTTTTTTAAATAGTTCTACTGAAATAAACAAAATACCTCCTCAGAAAAAGTCTTTGACGAGCTTTAGTTTACTGACATTAGGAATGTATCACCATAATAACTGAGATCCGGCTTTACTAGAAATGAGTACTTGAGGTCAATGAACTTTGGAACAAAAAAAATTTTTTCATCGAAACAAAAACTTCGATATATCATACTTAAGAACCGACTGTAAATGCCGAAGATGTAACGAAGAAAAACTAGAAAGCCGATCTCTACGTTTGGCAAAAAAAAAACTAGTGTCCCAAACTAAACCCGAAAAAGAATTCAACTAGGTCTGAACTGCTCCCGAACTAGGCCCCGAAAAAGTTCCGAAGTATAACAACTAGCAGTGTTGCTAGAACAGCTGATTAGATTTGTTGTCAAATGTACTATTCGTGAATTCGTCGTGGTTTACGCGTGACTTCCGCTTGGTTTTTGAATCAATATATTATTATAAAGCTATGCAACGAAAAGTTGTAGACGGTAATATTTTCGTTGTGGAATTCTCTTAGTAAATACTACAACTGTAACAGCTGTAAGCACAGGCCATTTCTAATGAAAAATTATAGATTTTCTGCTGGGTTGCTCAAGAGTAGTTACAAATTTTTTGCTGCGTTAACGCAAGTTTTACCCATTCCGGTTGCAAATATGTTTACACATAAAAAAAATTGTTCGAAATTGCTTTGCAAAAATACTTTAGACACAGGGGTGTATTGCGAACACATTTTTCCAGAACGGTCTAATGTATATGTATGTATTTCTTCCAAATAATTAAACACGAATAATTCTTAAATTAGTATGAAAACTCACCTGGTTTTACTGGCGGTAAAAAGAGCGCAGATTTCACTTCACTGAATTTCTTCACAAATCCACTCTTTTCTAAAAAGTGTATGGTGCGCTCATTGTCGCACTCATCTAAACTCTCTTGCGAAATATCGTAGGAGTCCTCCAGTTTCAGACCATGCAAAATGCCATCCAAAGTTGTGGTCACGAATTCGCCCGAAGTGCAACGCTTCGCACTCAGACAAATGTTATCCTCTTCAACCAGATTCACCATATAACGCTTATGTTCTAAATCCAAATTATCGATGAGTTCATCGATGATAGTCGAAGCGCCAATTGGGTCCTCGAGTGGCTTCAATTTGCAACGATATTTCTGATAGCGTAAAGTCATATTGCGTTGATAAATTGAATCCTCATCCGTATCATTATCATCAATGTCCAACAGACGAAGTATTTCAGAAAGTATATCAAGTGAAAATTTGTAGGAATCATCGTACTGCGGAGAAGTAGAAGTTAGTTTGGAGGGCTTTATTTAATGGAAGCTATTTTTTTTGTTTATCTTACATCTGCGACATATGCCGTCTTCTCTTCGACTTTCTTCCATTTGTACTGTGCGTCCAAACAAGATATATTTCTTACTTCCACATAAGTCATAATCTCCCTTTCACGTGTAAATATTATCATATCCGGTTGTGTGATTCTCAATTCTGGACTGCGGACTAGTAATTTCAATTGCAATGATCTCTGTGCACACACAAAAGTTGGAGGGAGAAAAGTAGTAAAAATTATGCAATACATTTTTCTTTTGTCTAATTTTTGAATCAAATTTTTCACCCTAAATTTTGCCGCCCTATTTCCACGTCATTGACAAAATTCATCGCATGACTATAGTCCTGATCTTACCTACTGCGCCTAAAACTATGCCGCAAATTGATTTTAAGCGCTCTAAAGCTGTCAACTGTCATTGTTATCTTTGTTAATATTGTGCGTCATAGTTTTAGGCGTAGTAGGTAAGACCATGACTATTGTCATGCGATGAGTTTTGTCAATGACATGGGAATGGGGCTGTAAGTGTGCTGAGTTCTGCGCTGTTGCCAATTACAGTATTGGATTCTGAATCTCTTTAACTGAAAAGCAGCGTTTGATTTGCACTTCGGTGTTTTGGATAGGGGGGTCCATTACCTGATATTTATTATCTGCCTCACAGAGTATGCGCCCATCCACGGTGGTGCAAAATTCATCACGTATTGCCGATTTATGTAGCGATATAAAAATCTCTTTCTCTTCTAGGCCATTCATGGTGAAATTAATGACTTTAGTGAAATGGTGTTCAAAGAACTGCTTAATTTTAAATGGTCCCAAAATTTTCAGATAGACGTTACTCTGCACATCACTCATGTTCTTTAGGCAGGCAGTGGCTGGAAATTTTAATAAAATTTTTTTCATTGAATTGAGCAACGCAATAATAATTTGGTCTGTAAAACTTTTTCTTATTTTCAATGGACGTATTCCTGTCTGAAACATTATGGCTCAAGCGCCACCAAAGGCATGCATGAGTTGAGATAATAACGTTGGGTAAGACTATGCTGGCTGTCTCGTAAATCTCTCACTTAGACCCTAGGTTAGTTTAGGTTATGCAGGCAACTCTGAAAAGACGCCACAAAGGCTCATCACGATGCTCAGTAAGATGGTTTCCCCAAGATTACCCTAAATGTCTTTAGCGAATCCTAAAAAACCCTCCAATTTGGCTTACCCTAAGCTGTCTAGGCTCTCGAAGTGTTCTTCCATAATATGAGGAGTTATTTTTTTGGAGTGCAGGGCATTTGTGGCACAAAGCTCAATATCGTTGTAAGTTAGTATTCCCGTAAGAAGGCATAAGTTTGGCTCTGTGAGCCTTAGTAAACTCCGTCTAATTTGTTGAGCAAACTCTGGCCAGAATAAGCGCGATACAGCGCAAGTGTTCAGATTAATCCAGCTGCTGCTGCTGGTTGCTCTGGTCACCTTCCCACCTTGTGAAGACAGGAATCGCAGCGGAGGTTTTATGATCTGGATCGCTTCCCTTAATCTTATATCAGATTTTTTTTTAGCACACTCGTCCATTTCCTCATTTACCGGAATGGCCAAGAAAAGATCGATTATGTGTTGCTGAAGAGCTTGTAGGGATCTTCGGCATTCCTTAATGCATATCGAGTCAGTCATTGTGGACCCTGAAAGGCTTTGATGCCGGCTTGACTGTCAATAACGTAGGCAAGTTTAGATGGAGATAGATCGATCATGTTTACCAGCTTTGCCGCCATGTCAATTTCATATGCCGGAGCCTCGAAACCGCTGCAGTGATTAGAGACTCTATAGGACTCTTTAAGAAATAATTTCTGAGATAATTCGACAGCTCCCGTTCCAATGTCCATTTTATTAAGCTCCCAGTCACTTCTGTCCGGAAAATTGATTTAAAAATTTCGGTCGAATCATAGCTACTGTACTCCACCCCAAGTCTGTCGAGGATAGTGGCGTAATCTTTGCAAGCTCACGTATATGTAGGTGAAATATTCAGGAGTGTATCTATCGCCTCCTGGGTTGTTGAGTAAATTTTGTGCATGCATACTTGTTAGGTTGAGTTAAACGGCTCCTACCATACCAGCTCGTCATAGTGAGGATAGGTCTAATTACCACCATGTAAACGTATGTATAATTGCGGCCGTAGCCACCAGTCTTTCCCATAGTGTGGCTGTTTTCCTTACTTCGACGTTTCCTGAAATCAACATATCGTCGATCTAGAGGATGATCGGTAGATCCAGTCCCACGGGAACCATGATGCCAAACTAACATTTTTAAAGACGCCTTACACGTCTATCCATTACCTTGAGTAAATATCATAAGCTACGGAGGGACCTAAACGCTTTTGCAGTGTTATGACTCGTCTTCCCTACTTTAGGAATGAGCATCACTCTTCCTCCGTCCATATGATATACGACTATGAGAAGAATAGTCCTGTAAACAGTCATTACCCAGGGAGTTACTGTGGCGATTGTGCGTTGTAACATAGCTGGTATGATTCTATCCGGACCCGGAGATTTATCTGATAGCCCAAGCTACTCTATCCTCACTGTTGTCGACTAGACTGCATTGCCTATAAGTATTAGGGGTTTCTGTAACAAGGCTGACACATAGACACGTAGCCCGTAAAAATATCCATAGTTCTACCAGATACATTTACAAGCAATGAATCTGTACTCACGAACCTTAAGCCATGTTAAAGAGCATTGGCGTCGCTTTAGCGAATTGCAGTAGGCATATTGGCCCCTTGTCGATTGGGCGCTCGCAAATTAATGTTACTGTTTCCTCGCGACAGTTGCGTTTCCTGTACTTCTTCTCTTGTTCCTAGCAACGAGCGCCATCTTAGGAGTCCTACCAGATATCTTGAGTCGGTTCTTCTTATTATTATTGGTAAGTTTTCAACGTGGTCTTTGAACCCTTGCATTTTTGTGTACTCAGCATACTGTCTACCTGGTTATACATGAGAAGAAGAAGGAACGCTCTCTTTGGCTAGCTCATCGGCTCTTTTGTTACCTTCAAAACATTTCAGTACTCATTTTTGCCTCCTTACAATCTTAAACAGTCTTCGAGTAGGTAGTATATGAATCTGGAGATCTAATTACTGCCTCACTGTCAATATATGTATGTATGTAAGTAGTTATCCGTTGGCTCGGCGACTGTAAATCGCAAAATCCGTCTCAAGAGTTCTTCGATATTATTTCGAGATCAGCTCACGACATTTTCAGAACCACTTGAGGAAAATTTGGGGACTGGTTCGAGATATTTCGGCGCGGCTCTAAACTAGTCACGAAATGATCCTAAAATAGTCCTGAACTATTCCCGACATGGTTATAAAAAGTCGTGTACTGGCCCCGACAAAATGAATACAATGAAGTGAAACTAATGTTTAATTTCTAACCTAACTTACCTGGTACTCACGCTTTTTTATTTCTAAACACTTACCCAACACAGGATGATCTTTATAAATATGCGTCCTATTATACTCCATCTGTATTAGCTTTTGACACCAATGTATTTCCGGTTCCACAAATGTGGCTGTAACTGTAAAGCGTGTAGTGTGTACCTTCAATTTGCAATCTTGATCGATAATTCTGACACGAAACTCATTATATATTGTGCCAGCGTCACAGGAATCGGCTGTTATATACAAAGTACCCTCCGATTGCGGTTCGAGACATAAAGTTTTCGGTGAAACTGTCAAATGGCCACGTCCAAGTTCAATTGCACATTTCGCTAGATTATTGCGTAACTTGTCGATATAAAAACAATATCTATGTTTGCCATTATTTGTTATTTTTACTTCTTTTTTATATTTTGGCGCATTCGTTTCGGTTTCGTACTTATTATCTTGACAATTTATCATCAGTGTACCACAATCGTGGCCACTGAAAATATTCGGTTCCATATTGATGGGTGAGCCCTCTACGACATAGGTCAGTGGCACTTCCTGTGTAAGTGAGTAAACAGAGTTGAAATAGGTTGGCTGTAGTAATATACATTCTACTCACAATGGTACCACTATTTATAATATTTATGACTAAAGTATTGTGGTAAGTATCCGCATCGTAGTACTTGGAGAAAATGGAAACATACATGCCTTGGCCCTCTGGCGAAAGTACGGCTCCACTGGGTTCAATATATTGGTATTTATAGTTTTTCTAAAAAGAGGTAAAGCATAAGGATTCATAAACATTTTATGGAGATTTGTTGTTATCTATGTAATTTTAAGGGAAGACCAAACAGGGTTGTAATGGGATATGGAGGGGTCGGCGTTGAGTTTGCTTTAAGTATTCGGTTTAGGGATTTATTGAAGTCTGCAGTGTCTTTTCACTAGGAGGTGTATCTGCAAGCAGGTGTCTGTTTTGAAGTCTGTTCTGTGTGTGCGCTGAGTTTGAGACCCACTACACAAAGCAAAATTCCACCGTAAAATTCGAATAAACCTCGCGTGAGACCCCTTCTTTTGATGGCGACCACAGCGAGCCTTTAGAGGCCTTTGAATTGAGAGATTTCACTGACCTAAAAGGGGTTAGATCGCCGAAATAACAGGCCTTAGTTTGGTAAAACCGGACTCATTCCGGTACGTAGAACCGGATGACGAGGCCCAGATGCTCCCCATTAAGGAGCATAACACAATAAAATAACCTCTGCACCCGATTGCATACCGGCAGGCAATAGGGACAAGGGCGTTTGTTGGGTGGGTGGAAGTTCCACACTTCCTGGGCCTCCCTGACGACAACGTTGATGGACAAGCCGACCCGAGTGCTAGAACAACAACAGGCCTATGAATTGAAGGTACGAAATTGGAATGCGTCTACCCTTAATGGGAAAGAATTTTTTCCAGCAACTCGATGACTAAAGTTGATGATGATTAAAGTTGACATCGCCGCCATCTAAAAAATGGGATGGGCCAAGTAAGATAAAAAAGCTCAGTATCACACTAGAGCTTCCATGAAAATGTGCGCAATTTCGATGTTCGGTTTGTGGAGGAATAAGGATTATGTATGTCCCCTAGTACTGACATTCACCCCGGTGGACGAGCCGTACCAAAGCGCCAGAGCGAGGTATCAGATCTCTTTTATGAGTGCTTGGAACGTACTTAAGAGCGCTGCCTCCATAACGGTCCCACCGTCGGAGAATTCAGTATACGCGATGAAAACTCCGATTAGGTTCATCGACTTTGCTATACCCGAAGCATGGTAGTCTGTAGTACGAGGTTCCAGCATGAAAGGATTCGTCAGGCTACATGGCTGCTAAAGACGGGAAAACAAACAACAAATCGATCACGTTTTAATAGACAGACCCCATGTTTTCGTTGTTCTTAGATCACTATTTGGTTAAAGTAAAATAAGGAATGCTTAACGTCGAAAAGCTGCAATCCCAACAGGCAGCCGGCATCCTCGCCAATTGCTCTCTGAAAGAACTCTTCAACAAGCACACATATGAGACCTTTCATTACGTACCGCCGCCGAAGAAGTAGTCGGATTTCAGTGAGCCCGAAAGAATAATTGGTAAGCCGCTGCAGAAAAACAGCATACCGTCTACAAATTCGCGCTTGAATCGAGCGCAAAAGGTATTTGCCCTCATAAAAACAGAGAGCCCAATATTCGTTAGTAGGCATTGCCAAGTGGAAAATCCTACGAGAAAGTTAGGCGACTTACGGCTGATGCGAATTTTGGTCTCGTAAGAACAACCACTGTGATATGTTTAACGATGCATAGAACACACCGAAATTCTGGAGAGAACCCTTACCCACCCTGTTGAGTGTTATCACCACTAAAAGTAGTAGGGAAAATGAACGCTGACTGCGGAAGTCAAGGACGACGGAATCGATGCTACACCGCCCGACTAGGACGAGATATGAATACGCGGCTGAAAGCAACAAAAAGTTGCTGGAGCGGTGATAACGTGTATGCATAAAATTTTATGTAAACTATAGCCGGATGGACGCATGTTTGTCGATTGGAATTTTTGCAAATCCAGTAGAAAGGCGACCCCCCCACATAAGCCAACTACCGCGGGATCAGCCTATTCAAGGTAGCGTAGAAGCCTTTAGCCCATCCTGAGGGCAATTAGTGGGCCTTATCCACCATAGACCTGGTATTCACCATACGTCAAAATTTGTAAAAGACTCGCGAGCAGAGGACTCGACACACACCATTGATTTTTTGATTTCAAAGTCTTTTACGACATCATGAAAAGCAGCTGCCTATAGGCCATGATGTCTGAACATCTTAATGCTCTAATACGGCTATGTAAATTTACATTGAAGATTCGGTATGCGGTACAACCAGACATATCGTAACACGCCGCGGGGTATCGTGCCTGTCTGTGCGAGCCTTTTTTAGGCAAGGAAAATCTACATATATGTTAACGTGAATACTTACCAGCCTCATGGTGAAACTTGTTATTGTTGGTGTATCATTTTCTATATACAAATGTACCACAGACCATTCGAGTACTTTTTGACGCCTGTAAATAGTGGTCGCTGATAATTTGATTTTAGTGGGTTTCACTTCGGCGAATATGTGAAATGGCGATCCGTTGGGATTACCCACAATCTTAATACTGTAAAAATGCAACTCAGAAGTGCTTAAAGCATAACATGATTATTTTTTTTTATACTTACAGCCCAGAGAGTTTAACTTTACCCAAACGATGAAATACTATGGTACCTTCTACTGCAACTTCTCCGTGTGATGGCATGAAAAATTTCGAAATACCATCCTGCAAGATCAGTTCACCACGGTCGTCAGCGGGCTATGCATTAAAAAATGAAGGAAGCATGAAATTGGACATTTTACATTAATAAATGTATATTTATTTGTGCCTTACTATCACATCGAAGTGAAAGAAACCGGGTACACTGGTTGTATTTTTAAAAGACATAATTAATTCTACTCCTTGGCCAACGTAAATACTTTCCATTTCATAGCTTATATCTTGTGTGAAAGTAATCTCTGGCAAGCGACAATTGTATTCCAACCAAATTTTTGTTGTAAACATTTTTGAGTTTATAAAAAATGTACCACGCAGATCCCAGCGTGCATCGCTATTATCCACATCGTGTTCCTCTTCGGTTATTGGACAAATGCGTACATTTAGCGAGCGATTGAATAAGCCCACTCTATTTGGTATTAGTAACACCGAAATGCTTTTACCCGCATTCGGTTGCAAATATATAATTTCCTGGCCACAAAAAATCTCTTTCGGGTTAAACGGCACAATATTCCAATCCATTTGACCATAATTTGAAAATTGCATAAGCGAATTAAAATAATTTGTATTCAATAGCAGTTGTAAAGCCTCGCTAACTACACATTCTTCCGCTTCTCTGTTTTCCAGATATTTTTTCTCCTTTATTTTGTTGACTATGGTAAATGCAAAATCTGGTATGGCATCTAAGAGGGTATGTAAATATTAAAAAAGGCCATGGGTACCAGGTATTCATGAAATTTGATGTGGAAACAACTGTGTCCGGCTTGGCAGCACATTAGGCGATTCAGTTATATATGTACATGAGTACTTAGGTTAGGTTAGAAATAAAACATTAATTTAATATTATTTTGTCGGAATCAGTAAACGACATTTTCTTAACCACTTCAGGAACAGATCGGGACAATTTCAGGATCATTTCGTTACGGGTTTTGAACTACCCCGAAATGATTCCGAATAAGTCCCAAAACTTTCCTGAAGTGGTGAAAACATCGTGAACTTCTCCTGATATGGTCCCGAACAAGCTTTGAAACGATCCCAAATTGACCCCGAACTATTTTCGGGATGTTCGTGAAATAGTCAAGACCTAGTCCCGAGAAGGTTGTAAAATAGTACTGAACCGGTTCCGAAACGGTCACAAAATGATGCCGCACTGGTCTCAAAATGGTCTTCAAATAGTCAAATAGTGAACAGGTCCCGGAACGGTCCAGCAATACTCCCGAAGCGGTCCCGTACTAGCCCCGAAATGGTCTTTAAATAGTCGAGAACTAGGCCCGAAATGGGCCAGAAAAGGTCCAGCAATGATCGCGAGCTAGGCCCGAATTGGTCCTGAATAGGTCCCGAAATTAGCCAGGATTAGTACCGGAATGGTCCTGAAATAGTCCTGAAAAGCTCCCGAAATTTTCCCGAAGTAGTCCTAAGCTAGTCCCGAAATGGTCCTGAAATATGATTTTCTACTGGGTTAGCCAAGTTGCATTTACTAATTTTATGCTGGGTTAACGGAAATTAAATTAACGAGAGCTAAGCAAGATGCTTACACATCAAAAATTTACAATCATCTTTATATGTATGCGCTCATTTACCTAAGACTTCTTCTTCAAAATGGCTACTGCACGTAGAAATTTCCGTGCCGATCGAACGGTATGACGGCAATGAATCCGTTTTACTTATCAATTCTATCGTCCGTTCGCCTTGACTACCTTTATCATCTTTGTCATCCGACATCGCCATCATAGCAGCTACATAATCTTTAACAGTTATCGGTTGTAATCCATCAGCATTGTCTACATTAAGNATGTTAGTATAGGTCAAATGGGGAGGATCCCGCGAAGGCATCACTTAGACATAGTTTTTATTGCCCATTGTGATACCACTGAACAGAAGGATTTTTTCTGGAACGGTAATTGGTAGCAATAGGATGACGAGGAATAATGCTGGAGCTCAAAATGGCATTCCCCAGGCAAGGGAGTTTCTTGGGAGTTTTAATAAATTATGATCCTAGGTGTTTAAACCTTAGACCGAGCGAAAGCATGGCAACTGAGAAGAAGATACTGAAATTCTCCTGCCGAAGGACCTGCTAGACGTATATGCTGCTAACAGGGTATTTTTGTCGGCTCACCAGGTACTGCCTGCTAGCGAGTTGAGGAACTTGTTCGTGGAAAGTAGTCTGTTGCAAGTGGCAGTGGTATACGCAGCGAAGGAGAAGAGGCTATCGAATGAAACTCCAAAATTTTTGGGGTGACTCACTGTTGCTAATAGTAGTAAGGGACCCCGTATTTAATTCTACGCGGCTTTGAATTTCTGAGTTCAACTGGACGATTGGCTTCCATACAGATAACTGGTTATCCTCCTTTAATTCCGATCTGAGAGCGATGAGTCCAAGATTCCTTAGAAAGGGACCGACGTTGACTAAGGCTCATAGGGACAGGGGAGTTAGCTGGGTGGGGTTTTTAAAGCATGCTAAGAGGTGGCCTGCGTTCACTCTGCTCAAGTACGGGTCTAGCCTGCTGCAGTGCCCACAGCGAAGTTGTGCTATTTTGGTGCGAGTTTACCGAGGCAGACAACGTTTCTTCTCGTCCGCGTTGGGTGGCTGCGTGCCCATAACGGAATTCACAGGTCGGGAGTCTATAAAACTCAAGAACGACTCCCTGTGAATGGCGTTTAAGGCCTGTCGGTATACAATTGGATCCAGAGATTTTTTAATGAACCTCTGGACTTCGTCCGTTAGTTTGTAAAGATGCCTCCTGACGTACCTTGGCGAGTTCCCTTCTACAAGCAGTTGTCTGTTCGGGTGCTCGCGTCTGTGGCACCCTACTAGGAGCTGCTTGCAGAGCATTGTGTTATGCTTCCTGTTGGGGAGCATCTAGGCCTCGCCGTGAAGGTGGTGTTGAGACGACATAAGGAGGCATCCTGTGGCGGTGCGGAGTGCCGTGTTCAAGCATTTTTGTAGCTTCGTCCACTGCGTGACCACACGGGCGCTGCCGGCCATTTGCCTCATATCTTGTCTTTGCCCCAGGTACTGCCGGCTAGTGACTTGAGGGCCTTATCGTGTCGAAAAGAAAAGCAGACTTTCGAAGGTAACTCCGAGGATTTTCAGGTTATTCACCATCGGATCCTTCCTCCAGAGGGTTAGGCTCCTTGCAGTGAAGAAGCGAGAAAGTTCGGAGAGGTAACCATTTACTTTCGAACACAAGTCATCAATTCCATTCCCAGATTCTGGGATGGACACTTTGAAAGCGGCTGATATACTCGACTCCTGGCGGTCATAGTTTCTTCAGCATCAGCATGGAGATTTCTTCGGGGACTAATGGCTTAGATGAACTGGTTGTGTGTCTTGATCCAATTTGACTACTTACGAACGTATACATTAAATTACATGGTTACATTCCTAGCAATTCGGATGCAATGATGGAATTTTGGTAGATTTAACGAAAATCGTATATTATCCATTTTCTTAAATGTAAGACTACTGACATAAAAAACACATTAGGTTTAATGCAGGTGGGTGTCAAGTTACAACACTTTCGTCTTGAACCCACAAAACGGATAAGCACAGACTTACCAATTATGGGTATTTCAAAAGTTATATTCGGATGCTCCGATTGAATGTAAATGTGTCTGTAATCAGTGTGCACGCTATTCGAGGTAGGAGTTATCAGAACCTTGATTTCAATAACTTCATCCGGTTGCAAGTAATTACATTCCCAGCCATCAGGAAAAATAATTTTTGTATCTTGTAGACTATCAGTGGCATATATCAAGTTGCGTGGATACTAAAAGGAAGATAGTGGATAAGTGAATTTCACATCTTGCTTTTACAAATAAAGAGCCCGCAATCAATTTTTTAAAATGTTGATTAATAAAATACTAAAATATTCAATATATGTATTTGAAAAAAAAAACTTACCAATCCTTTATTTTTGATAGTTATTGTTTGTGTATATACTTGCCCCTTTTTTAGTTTTTTGCAAACGACTACGCGTGGAATTATAATCAATGTCTCCACCAAATTATGGCTCAATGAATAATCTGCAGGTACGTATATATGTATGTATGTATGCATACACTTATTTTTAATAAATGCACAAGTTTTTACTCCTTACATTCTCTGGATGAGCAACAAAATTTCTGTTTCGACATCTCTTCGTTTGCTTTTCGAATTGCAGTAACGGGTTTTCGAACTCAAATAACTTCCTTCCCTTTTCGACAACTTCCTCAAATCACTCACAATGGTTGCCTTTGCTATTGTGAACGCCTGCGGACACAAAAAATTTTCGTAATTCGCAATCAGCTGTTTTGTTGTGATAGCGGCGTTGGGCTCGTGTGTAGAAATTCTTGCTTGATATTTGTGATTTGTGTTAATTATTTCATAAAATTGAAAGAAAGAAGTGAACTTTCAATTGTCTAGCGTGACAACATTCACACAAAACTAAACATAGAAAGCCACAATGTCACAGCGGTTCCGTCAAGGTAGGTGGGGTAGAAGGCCTATAGGCTTCCATCCTTGTTATACAACATTGCCTCCTGATTACTTAAATTTTTTAACTTTTAGTAGCTTTACTATCCTGTCGCACACCTATCACACAATCACAACGTTTTCGTGGTAAAATCAATATACAACGACCACGTGCACCACACTATGAGCGCGCCAAGGTGCTTGCCGTCGCACAAACTCTGCCAGCGCTGGAGGAACCTGAAAAGCAAATCACTTGTTTTCAACGACGTCAACGGGAAGCTGACGTAGAGAATCCTTATGTTGCGGTCATTGCGCGAGAAGTACGTAATTGGCTGGAGCATTCACGTCTGATTGGCTTCTATCACCTCAACTCGATTAAACAAGATGATCTCTTTGAAGTGCGTGTAAAATTGCACAAACAAAATATGCATCTTAAGTCCTATGGTAAACAAATTGTACACAAAGCTGTTGAGGGCACGCGATTCGAAGCCATCCTACCACTATTTGAAAGCAAAAACTGTATAGTATTTTCGACAGAGCAGCGTGTTGGACAGCTCCTACGAATAACACGCCGTGTGCCACAGATGATATTGCTGGCGGGAATTGTTGATGAGCGTCTACTTAGTCGAAATGAGTTTATGGCCTATGCACAATTGCCAGGTTTGCAGGCGGCTCAAGGAGAACTTGTACAAACTCTAAACATGGCAGCTAGCAATGTAGTGCAGCAACTAGAAACACATCAGAAAAATTTTGTAAATGTGCTTGATGTGTACGCCAAGGGTGAACCGGAAACAACCGGACCGGCTAAGGAAGCGAATGAAGCAGAGAAAGCGTGAAATTAAGTTACAGTTTTAGTGCGTTAAGTGAAGTTTTATTTGAAATCAGAAAAATAACGAATATGGAATTTGCTAAAATATGAAATGGTTTAAAGTAATTTTAACGGAATATATTGTACAAACCAGAGAAAATGATGAATAACAAAGGACTTCTTTTGCGAGTGCGAGAATATACCAGACATCCTGCTAGAAATGTTAAAACAGCTAACAAAACTTGCATGGAGCCATAGCAATAGGTAATAGGATTTTCATTTCATTTCATTTCATTTCATAGAAAATTCTCAATCCTTATTTCGTTTATTTTATTTTATCTATTTTCTTGAATGTATTGCCTATTTTAGCTTTTTATTTTATTTTAATATTTGTTAAAGCATAAGTTATTCTCTTGAACTGTAAAGACACCCATAACGAAACTGGGACTGGCCTTTAACATTTGTATGAAGTAATCATTAGGTTTCGTGCGTTCAATGCTGATTGTTTTTTTTTAATTATATATAATTTTTTTAGTTTTGTTTTATCTGCTAATTTTACTTTGATAACATTTTAATTTATACTGAAATTCCTTTTTTTTCTTAAAATTTTTTAGGCAGGTCCTGCAATTCACTTCCGAATGAATTCCAATACCTGTTAATTAAAAATTCAAATAATTGAAGACCCTGCCTGATTATTTAATTGATCACTATATTTACCCATTTCAACATTAAATACATACACACACATTTCTTTAAGATTTTTTATTCATATTTTACTTTATTCACCCGATCATTTCACACATTTACTTGTCTTTTGAACTCCGTTTAGTCTAGGTATTTGTTAGTGATGAAAATTTATCTAATTTCGTATAGTCTTTGGCACCCAAAATTTACACTGGAATGCTTTCTTTCGTTCTCATATGTACATATGTATGCAACTGTTTGTTAGCAGCTATCACTAGGAACTAATTGCATTGACAGTCTTCAGACTCGCACCACCGGCAGGACTGCAATCCAACATTCGCTGTCGACAGTTAAATGCCATATTGGCTAATGCCTCAGCGGCATCCAGCTCCAATTGTGTAGGGCAGGAATAAGCAGATTTACGTTGCAGGATGCTGGAGTTGGCTGGTATAATGGTGACGCGGCGCAGTTGCTTTGTGCGCTGCTTACGTTCCAATTTACCGCTGGAATGGGTGTTCAATTAAATATAACAACTACTTAAATATCGACATTTCAAAATGCTTACGTTCTGCCATTCCATTCGATAAAATAATTGTTCTTATCGGGCGTAAAGCGTGCTGCACTCTCCAACCATTTTGTCAGTGCCGTATTATCAATATTGTGCACGCCAGCTTTGTTTAGCTCATCACGGCTGGTGTGTGCGGGCACCGACTGCTCTGGCATTCCGGTTGCAGTTTGCGCATCACGCGTGTCGCGCAGATACTTTTCCATCATTTTCTGTTTGTACTTTGCGTTATTAGCGGTTGATATTGGTTTCTCCGTAGCGTGTTGTTTGCCGCCACTCATCCATTGTTGACATGAATTTGTGTTGTGATCAGGGCTATTACTTGCTGTTGGCTCATGGACGGTAATAAAAGTATTTGTTATTGTATTTCGTTTATCACAAATTTGATTTTTCAAAAAACCACTGATTTTAGGCCTACTCCTGTCAGCGATATTATAACAACAACCGCCACCCGAAGAGCTCACAGTCCCTTCAGTGCCACTAGAAATACCATCTTCACGTCTCGCATATTCATCCTCATCACTTCGTTTGTACTCATCCCCATCCCCATCCCGTTGCAATTCATCTTCTCCCCAAATGCTATCCTCCGAGGATATACTAAATTGTTCCACATTGCCACGTGCATTCGTATTGTAATGCTTAATAAGATGACCCCAAGATGTTTTGCTACGTTCACGCTCCGAATTTTTCAGCTTTCTCCGCCAATTGGCAAACCAATTACAAATTTGTGTGTACGTTAGGCCAGTTTGATTGGCCAAGCGTTTCTTTTCATCACGACTTGGATATGGATTTTCGCGTCGCCGCACAAGCCAGTCCTTAAGCATACGCTTTATTTCGGGTGTAAAAAGCCGTTTCACAAGGCGCGCTTGATGGAGGTCATCCTCTGGTGGCCAGGCACGTCTGAAACGAGTATTTTGTTAATTTATTTATTTAATAATTTTTCTGATATATTAGTAATTGTTATAGCTTTTAAAACTAAAGAAAAACTGAAAAGGGAATTCTGCCGGAGGATAAATCCTAGGCCAGGTATAAAGCTGGATCGTCCCGGTTACCGATTGTGCAAAAGTTGTGTAAAAGTAGCGTATTCACTATCGATCCTTGGTTTGGCTTTCGCTGCTGATCTTACGACTACATTTCAATGCATTTGCATAGAATTACTCAAATTAAAGATGAACAATGTATTACTCAATTTGTGAAAGCCAGAAAAGCTACCCAAATTGAATTCAAATTATGCGCTTTATGCCAAAAATCACTTTTACATCACTTTCAAGCGCAGCATTTTGTAAAATCGAGTTGTAAAAAAGCATGCAATAGCAATTGATCTTTAATTTTATGCACTTATACATACATTTGTCAGTTAAAACGCACTTAAGTATACAATCAACCAGTTAGAACAAAACAGCAGGCAGCCAATATAGAAATTTCGTGTTAGCTAACAGCACAACTATAACAAGAAAAACGATTATTAGCAATTTGCATACAATTTAAATACTAAAATTATTCATTAGAATGCAATGAATCCAGTGTAAACTATTTAACATGTCGGCATTGTGTACTCACATACACACACGCACCTGCTATGTCGACGATTACGCTGTGGACGACCCGTCATGAATTTCTCCATCATGAAAAACGAATGCAACTGAGGTATTACTATTTTTAGAAGATAGATATAGAGATTGAACTTTCTGTGACAAATATTTTATTAAACAAAATTTTGCTCTGTTGTAGATCATGATTCAATAATTATAATAATAGTAATAATATTATATTAATAATAATAATTATTGAATCATGGTTGTAGAGTACATCGCCGCTTTACTTAAATAAACACATTTTTTGCTTCAATAATCGAGCTTACTGAACAGCCTTTGAACCACTTAAAGAATATTTCCAACTATCATAGAGCGAAAATGGGACAAGCAGTTCTACTTTTAACTGTAAAAATTCAAAAATTAGTTAATTCGCGAATGAATTATGAAGTGGAACTAAAACCCCAAGGCTGGATAGAAATGACAGAAGATCCCTGGTGAGGTCAGCTTCTCACACTATTTTTTTGAATATATCAGCAAAATGATTGTCTGATTAGCACCACAAAAGCTGTAAAATCAAGGATAGCGAAGCTAAACTTAATTGTTTTCAGTGTCTACTTTTTTTTTGTATTCAAGTTACTCCAAAAGTGTCTACTTTATAAGCCGGATTGTACATCAATTTACAGAAAAATGTTTGGAGTTTGCTGTTTAGCAAAATTTGCGAATCGAGCGGTGCATTTAAAGATTAGCAGTCTATCCCTTTCAGGCGTTCAAAGTGGTAAGGAACGAGATATTCTTCAACTTTTTAAAACTATCCAATATATTTTCTTATTTTTCTCCACTTTTCTTTAAAAGCGATGCTCGTTCAAAATGGAACCGCAACGTAGCTGATCCGTTACTCAAAAGCCCGATTCTCGAAAAAAAAAATAATGTGCTTATTCAAGTGAAGCGGGGTGTAGTTGTTGCACCAGAAAGTTAGGCGCAAATTTTTTATTATTATTCAAGCAGCTATGTATGTTGACTTCAGTATTGCAATAACAGTTAAACGATGTTTTGTACTTATGACATTTTCAACAAGGGGCCTCTTCTTTGATGTTATAACCAAAAAATTTATCTCTTAGGGCCAGTTTTTCAGCGTACGGCCGTGGTGTTTAAACTAAGTTTAAACGCCCGATCTGGCTGTTTGAACTAAGAGCAGCCAGTTGTTCAATTTAAACTCAGTTTACTTAATCTAAGTTTAAACTGGCACTGAAAAACTGGCCCTTAAGCTGCATTATGCATGTTGTAAATGCCTAAATTTTGCAATTATTTAAAATCATTCATCTGCATATTTTCGACTTTAGCTACTCTAATTCATATCTGTCTCTTTTACATACATACTCGTATGTATCTATATTTATACGAAAAACATTCACTTTCAAAATATTGCGTGGGCGTCGAGGTATTTACCAAGTTTTTATATTTCATGTTTTTAGTCGTTTTATTGTCGCACACAAAATAAGTTTTCATGTTTTTTCAAAAACAGTGGCGATAATGCCAAGTACGTACCAAAAGAAAAGTTGAAAGACAAAAAAAAAAATAACGTCAGGCGCTTGTTGCTCTCCGTGAGTACGGAAAAGTTGAAAACCACCTTTTGATTTTCTCAAAAGAGCTCATTTGCATTTGCAAAAAATGTATGGATATAGATTAGCTCGCAGAGAAAAACACGAGACACATATTTACAAATACATACATACAGTGCATAAGTAGTATATACGAATCCGCCTACATGCATACATACGAATCCCATGTTTGAAGACCTTGAGTATATGTATATAAGAGGTTTTTCACATTATTACTAATTTTTAAATTTTTTGTATGAAAATATTATTTAAACTATTTGCAAATATTTATTTAAGGCTCTTCTGATTTGGTACCGCAAATGAATGGTACGCAAATAAATAACTGTTTATTGACTTTCAAGTCTCAAATAATCACTTTTAAAATTAGCACTGACGAGTATATAACAAAAATATTTCTGGTGATTAACTTCCTCATTGGCACAATAGATTAAAATCTAAATGTGTGCTGAAGAATGAAAACAACAACACTAGCAGCTATTTAGCAGCAAACAAAAAAAAAAAGGCCTTCATGTTTTCATGTTTTTTGTGCGTTAGCACTTCGAAACGAACGGAACGCGGAAATTATATAAGATATTTGTGTTTACAGCAGTTTTTTCTCAGCTACTTTGCTTATTTCTTTCATATGAAATATTACATTATTCCAGTGCTGTTTAAAAATTTCTCAAATATTACATAATTTCCAAAATTTATACAACAAACATCACAAATAGCAAGTACATAATCAAAAAAAAAAAATAAATTTATAATTATAATTCAAAACATATACTAATTCTTTGCTTCCTCTAACCACTTTTGCATTGTCTTGCCACAATTAATTAATTTCTATATTAAAACTTTTAAGAAAGACACCCACCTCTTCCTTAAAAACAAAAAAAAAAACACACACACACTCTTGTACAGTATCTAAATTTATTTATTTTCACCAGCGATTCGCTTGAACAACAGCCGCAGACTATTTGCTATTGATTTTGCTCGACACTCACTGACCATCCATCCATCGGTGGAAAGTCATTTTCATTCCGTCTTCGTTTTATTTTCCTGAATTTGATTTTGAATTTTATTCAAACATTTTTTGCTTAAGAGAAAAATCTTCCGTTGCACAATGAATTAGATCGTTTATTTGAGCACTATCGTTTTTGCTTTGTTGTTTTTGTTGTTGCTGTTTTTTTTCGACTATGCGAGTGTAGATCTTTAGGCGCCTTCAAATTGTTTTAGTTGTGCACTCTACAGCTGAGTATTTTGTTTGAGAAAATTTTAAGTAGGTAATTAGAGGCGCGTACTTTCAACCGGTAGGACTTAGATTCCTGATTGGAGCAACATACAAAGAAGGATTTTTTTCTAGAATTTTTTTTTTTATCTGGCAGAAATGTACTCGGAGGCCCGACTGCTGTTAGAAAAATCTTGGAACCTGCGTCCTGCCGTGTAGTAGCACGCTCCTCTGACCACTCGATTTCGGCAGCCACCGTTATTGTGAATTTAATCTCGTTGTAGTGTTGAGACAGCCCTTGGGCATATTCAAAATCTTTACAAGACAAAGCTTGAAATTTAATTATGTACTTGTAGCATTGCGACCGGTAGATCTATTATGCCCTAAGCTCATCAAACCACCTCTGTACCAAGGCCAAAAACTGTGCCAAGTTTGGAAGAAATTGGTGCAGCGGTTACCAAGTTATACACATGTAACCATAAGTGGGCGTGGCTACGCCCATTTTCCAAAAATTTATAATATTCTTATTTTTCGTCTAAAAATTATTGTAAATATCAAGTTTGAGTGAATAATCTTCAGTAGTTACTAAAAATCGCAGTGTTCATATTTCTGGAAATTACCGTTGTATGGGAAGTGGGCGTGGTTACAGTCCGATTTCGCCCATTTTCAATACCAACCTACCTTGGATTAACGGAAACCTACATACCAAGTTTCGTTGAGATATCTCAATTTTTGCTCGAGTTATCGTGTACACGGACGGACGGACAGACGGACAGACGGACGGACAGACAGACATGGCTTAATCGATTTCTTTATTCATTCTAAGCATTTATGTATACATTTGTCTATATCTATCTCGATTCGTTTTGGCTGTTACGAACAACCGTTATGTGAACAAAATTAATATACCCTTGTGCACAAGTGCGCTCGGGTATAAAAACATTAGAAAATCATACACTAAAATTAATTTCAAGTTACTGAACGACAAGTTACGCTACGAGAATTGGTCGCATGTTTACGCAGAAAACGACGTTTCGTTATCCTATGCTTTATTTCTGGAAACCGTAGGGCCGTTTTCTCATCTAACCTTTAGATTACCGGCCACTTTATCGTCTCGATGTACGAGTTTTCGTTTTCTCATCAGCGCATTAATTTCTCGAATCGACAAATTGTTGCTCACCCCACTAGCTCTAGAGGCTCTATAAATTTCGAAATAGATCACGGGGATCTCTTTTGACCACAGACACCCAGACTCCTAAGCATTTCCTTTATGGTGTTGGGTCCCACTGCAAGGAAGGGGTCAGGTTCTATTGGGGTCGAGGCAGCGGCAGCTGTGGAAAACTGATCAGCTTCCTCATTTCCCTCGACCCCATGTGCCCTGGTACCCAAGTCAGTTTAAAATCATTAACTTCAGCCAGAGCATTAAGCCTCCCTACAAGCTCCAAAACCAAAGAGGACTTGATCTCGAATAATGAGAGCCGCCTGACTATCGCTCGCAGTGAGTATCCTCTCGCTTCGATAATTTCTTCGAAAGTTAATCAGAGCACATATACTGATGGCATAGACCTCCGCTTGAAAGATGCTAGAGAAGGCTCCCAGGGGCATCGAAAGCTCCAGTCTGGAACCAAACACGCCTGCTCAAATACCTACACTGAATCAAACAAATGACCGTTTATATATTCGTTATGTTTTTTCGAGCTAAATTTTTTTTTATTTTTCTTTAAAAACCATTTAACCAAAACCATGTAAAGCACAGTTTCAAACTTTATACAAAATTTTGGAAAATTTATCAAATTTTTTACTTTTTAATCTGAATTTTTAGAAAGTTTTGGGTATGCAGTTTTATAGCTTAACCGAAAAAGTAGTCTCCAATAAAAGTTCTCAAAAATCAACGCGATTTTTTAGCCGGTTGAAATTTGCACTTTATTGGACTAGAATTGTATGGGCTATAAAACTGTATATCCGACAATGTTCTAAAGATTAAGATTGAGATTTTGATGAAAATTTGTTGAATTTTCCTAAATTTTTTATAAAGTTTAAAACTGTGATTTATATGTTTTTGGGTAAAGCTGGGACGGTATTTTTTAAGAACAAAAAAAAAATAGTTTATTCGATACTCAAAAAAATACTTGAAAACCCGGTTTCGAAAAAACGAGTCAGTCACCCTAGTACCCATGTATGTAATCAGATTATATTGAAATTCGAATACAATTTTTGTAAATGCATATTCTGTCATGCCGACTATAGCATACCACATCATGAATTCTCTCTCCTTACTTTGTTGTGGCAATGC